GTGTGTGTGTGTGTGTGTGTGTGTGTGTGTGTGTGTGTGTGTGTGTGTGTGTGTGTGTGTGTGTGTGTGTGTGTGTCTGTGTATGTGTGTGTATCTGTGCGTCTGTATCTTATCTGTGTTTGCACATACACATTCACTCACCTAGGCGTATCGCCACGATCCCTATCCACCTCCATAGACAGCGCATTTGCCGAGTGACTCCCTTGCCCTCTAGTCACCACAGCCGCACCCTCAACATAAACTGTTTGGTGTGAACTTGCACGTGTCCGGGGCACTCCATCTAGTTGCCCGTCGTCTCCCCTATCTTTCTGCGACAAAGGTCCGTCTCCATTGTCCTGTTGCTGTGTACGGCCTTTCTGCGGTGCTGTGTTCTCCCTATAGGCCTCGTGCGCATCAGAGGTCGAGGGGTATATCCCAGGTGTACTGGCGGTGCGTTTAGCCTGAGTTTCATCGGAGGTGCTGATGTGTGTGGGTGTGTGTGTGTTTGATCGCCTGGGTTCGGCGTCGCCCAGGTTGGTACCAGACGCCGGCTTAATCGCAATTCCTGCGACAAACCAACAGGTGTGGTGTGAGCGCAAGAGACCGTGCTGATATGAGATAATCAAACACGCTACATACTAAACAACAACCGAAGGGCCGATATGGCTTTGTTTCTTTAAATTTCACAGTCGGTTAGAGAACCACTGAATCGTCTGTGAAATGGCCCAGAACCCTAACCAAATAGGGCGAACCGAGGGTATACGGGGCCACTCACTACCACTGGAACAAAAGGACACGTCCCAGCACTCAGCACAGACTTGAACAATAGCAATCAAGACTGTGTCAACAAAGCAGAAGCATACAGCAACACAACATAGCGCACACCACACCAAGCCTTGGGAGGTATGCCCGACCGTGAAACGGCAGCCACTACATCTGCCCAACCACGTGATACTACGAAGCGCACCCACACGACCACTATGCAGATGGTGCAGCACCCTACGTACGGTATAACAGAACCACTCGCTCAATGGTACAATTAACGTTAACACTCGTTGAATGGTATGTAGAACGTTAACACGCGCCGAATGCTAAGTATAACGGGAACACTAGCTGATTACTAAGTTAGCCCATACCTGGTATTTGTTGGTTCGTTTCTTCATTAGTCGCGTTTTGAATGGATACCTGTGGACAGTTGATAGTAAAAGGTACGGTTGTAGTAGGAAACCAGCCCACCACGCCTGCGCTTGCAGATGCACATATCTCGCGGCAAGTTACAACTTGTATTTCAATTCGAGAACACCGAATGTACCTACAGGGCGCATAACGACCATACTTCATTATCCATCGATGTGTGTCTATGCCCATTTGCATAGGGATCGAACGGGCATCAACTAAATAAACAAAACAGCGTGAATATACTCTACCATACTGTAATCACCCTCCGACAAGCACCCTCGCAACAGCTCTAAGCTGGCTCTGCACACACACACGCACCTGTGTAGCTCGGCTGGTTTTAGGCCCACGGTACGCTTGCGGCAGGGGAGGTGGGGCTGTCCTGTTAGGCTGGCTGAGTTGGATAGTGGTAGTGGCACTGGTACCGTATGTGGGCATGCGCGTGGGTGGAGGGGGCCGAGACTGTGACGGACTAACTATGGGAGGTCCTGACGAGTTGGGCCGTCCGGATGATGCGTAGCTGGGATCAACCTGGTGTTACATACAGTGGTATAACTTGCCTTTAACACGTATTGTGTGGAGAAAGTATGCGTTTTAAACACGTATTGTGTGGAGAAAGTATGCATTTCAAACACTTTTGTGTGGAGCAAGTATGCGTTTTAAAAAGAAACCAATCGTGCACATGTGTATTTGTAGCGGTGGGAATGTCTCACTAGAAGCGTTAAGTACAGTCACGTGGTTCAGGAGTGTTTGCGCCGATACTAAAGCTTAGAAATAGTCGTGAGAGAGTTGCCTAGTTGATGTCAGTCGTCTGATATGAATGATATGTGCGTGCTCGAATAAAACATGGCTATACATATAAACATATCGGTACACAACTATTTGTATATACATATATACATATATATATACATATGAATATCCAAATCTCTACATAAATATACATATCTAAATAGATATGTGTTTATAGATACTGTACATATATATATATATATATGTGTGTGTGTGTGTGTGTGTGTGTGTTGTATATATATATATATATATATATATATATATATATATATATATATATTTATATATGTATATATACCTGACTATGGCCACCATATTTACCAAAAAAAAAATTATATATATATATATATATATATATATATATATATATATATATATATATATATATATATATATATATATATATATGTATGTATGTATGTATGTATATATATATATGTGTGTGCGTGTGTATATATATATACATATATATATATATATATATATATATATATATGTATATATATATAT